TGTTAGAGCTTATAAACAGGGCTTCAGGTAGGGAGGGGGAGCAGGAGTGAGGAGAGGACAAAGAAAATTCCTAAGGAGGGTCAGCAGGAGGTCGCTTTGGTCCCAGGCCCCTGCAGCTAGCTGATTTAAAGAGGTTTATTCAATCCTACATTCCTAGGTTAGACTAAAAGCCTCCTATTTACACGAGGCTTGATAAATCGTGGCAGGTAACACAAGGTTCGAGACACCGCTGTCCAGAGTCGGTCTCCAACACTCTCTGACTCACCCTTCCACTTCCCAGAATTCTCCTCTCTCCTTGTCCTGTCTATACTTCCTGCCTGGCTACTGACCAATCAGTGTTTCAATTATTAACCAATCAGAGAAACACATTTAACATACAGAACATCCCACAGCACTCACCTGTAAAATGGGAATGACTAATCTTGCCCTGCATAGGTGTTTAGTCCAGTATCTGGCTTATAGCCAATGATGCAGATTTCAATTATTAAGTCAGTATGGAATCAGTATAACACAGCGGCTAATAGAAGAGGCTTTGGGCAGGCAAGATGGCTCAGGGAATACAGGCACTTGCTGCCAGGTCTGAACCCAAGTTCCATCCCCAGGACTCACATGGTTGAAGGAGAGAACAGACTCCTACAAAGTGTCCTCAGACCTGCACACCTGTGTTGTGGCACAGAAATGCCTGCCCCAGAAATAAATTAAATTTTGAAATGTTTTTAAAAAGAAGATTTGGAATGATGTAGATCTGTGTTCCAGAACCAAATGTCATCACTTCTAAGCTGGGTGACCTTGGCAAGTGGCCCTGCCTTCCTCATATTCCTCATCAGTGACCTCATCTATATGTTAGTATCTCCCTGAAAAGGTTGTTGTGAGGTCACATGAGACCAAGGAAATGACCACTACATGGTGATTGTCCTTGTCACTTCTGTGCCGCTTACAAACCAGGGGTCCCAGAGGGTAGACCTACCACTACAGGTGACCTCAGTCCCAGAGCATGAGTATGAGTAGGAGGTGGTGTAGGGGTTCTCTATGAGGAATTTGCAGCTTTCCATCTTCATGACCTGACCGTAGCAATTGTCGTGAGTCTGGCAGCACCTGGAGAGAGGAAGAAACAGCTGAGAAAGGACTATGGACCCACAGGACATCAGTTCTCACCTGCAGTCTTTCTCAAACATGTCAGGATGATTTAAACATGATATTCCAGAATAAATCATCCTGAGGCTTGAGATTTTGTGATTTCTATTAAGCATATATTTATTGAAAGCAACTTCTGTGGAGTGTAGTGGTGTCTACCATTAATCCCAGTACTTGAGGGGCAAAGGCAGATGAACACTAAGTTCAAGTCCAGCATGCTCTCCAGAAGGAATTCCAGGAAACCTAGGGCTACACAGAGAACCCGTGTCTGGAAACTAACAAACAAAAATAATACAGAAAGCAAACAAAATATATGATGCTTGGTGAATCTGCATGTCTCCTATTTGTACCTCACGAGATGCTCTGCTTGTGTGCTGTCCCCACCAACTCAGACCCTCCAGTCTCCCACCAGATGGATCACTCACCTGTCTAACTCATCCACCGGAGTGTCTGAGCCCCCAAAACCACAGTAGCAGCCATAGTTGCTGTATTCCAACAAGGGATGACTGGCAGGGATGGTGCACTTGATCACATTGTTGAACTGCCACAAAGACCGACGGCTGATGCTGTGTGCAGTAGCACCTGCTGCAAGAATGCACAGCACACTCCATGAATCCCACTTGACTTTACCAAGGACTGATGCCTGCCTGCAAGCTTCTTCCTTGACTCTCCAGTCTCCCACCAGCAGGTGATTATCTGGGTTGAAAGCCAGCCTGGTCCATAGAGTGAGTGACAGCCATCACTACTCAGACAAACCCTCTCATGTAAAATGAGAACAACAAAAATTAATAATAATAATAATGACATCCCCAAAACAGAACTTCAGGTGTGACCATTGGGAAACTGTCAATGAAGACAAGAGAGATGAGGGGCACACGGAGGGGACAAGGGTCCTACCTGTGAGCAGAGCAACCAGCAGAAGGAGTTTTATCCTGAGTGTGTGGAGGGCTCAAGTGACTTCTCTCTTTATAGTTCTGTATGTAATCCTAACACTTGGGAAGTTGAGGTAAGTCTTGGCTAGAATGTTGAGTTGGAGGACTGTCCCAGCCAGCGGGATCTTCAGCAGAGACCCTAGAAGGGTCTCTGAAAGGGACAAGAGACACAAAGAATTGACGGCAAGACAGTATTCTGACCAAGCTGCAAAATTTTATTTTTCTCAGGTGGATTTTATAGTAAGCAGACCAGGAAACTTTCTTTGGGAAAAGATCAGGGGACTGTTCAGTTGCCAAGCAACCCAACCAAGCAACCCAACCACAAAACATTGTTACTCATGGTCACTGTAGCAGAAAGATTAGAAAATGTTAAGTTATTTTCTAATAAAGCAGGACTTGTCCAGGTATGTCAAAGTTTCTGGTTAGTGGCTCAATACTAGACAACAGAAACTTAACTCAGGCAGGCAATATGGCATGGCTCTTGAAATTGTCCTCAGTATCTCCTCCCTTTATTTTATTTTATGAGGGAGTATGCCCACCTGAACGGTGGTGGACCTTAACCGGCTGGGGGAGACATTGACCTGACTCCTCCTAGAGCCGCTGTGGGCTTGAGAAAAAGGGTACCTTTTGGGGAGGAAAGGGCTTAGGCATTTTGTTGCCTCTAGATACCAACCTCTATGAAAGTCAGGTTTGTCTCTCAGGGAATCCAAACCAAGGGCTATCAAATCAGCCTTCCTCTGCAGTGCTTGGCCTTGCACCCAGCGGTGTCCAAACCGGCTCATGCCAATAAGCATAGGTTTGGACTTTATGCTGCTCTAAAGAAGAGGACTGAGAAATATTATAGGGATCACATCCTTGATCCAGTGTGGGGCATTTACCCACCACCCCCACAGCTCCCCAGAGTTTTCTTGAGTGCGATCAGCAGGAAATATTAGATAGAAGGATTTATAGTGGAGAATCTTGTGGAGATAAACAGATAGAAAATAAAGGATAGCCTCAAGAGGGCCTGGAACCTATTCCAACTGGCCCGACTGTCTCTGGCCCAGGGTTTTTATAGAGACACCAAGGGGTGGAGCAAAAGACCTCCTCCCCCAGCACAGCCAAATGCAAACCATCTCAGACACCTGCACTCAGGCCCGTGGTCCTGATCATCCTCTATTCGGACCTGCTGGGTAAAGCCACGAGGAACCCGAGAACGGGCTCCCACAATCCAGCATTTCGAGCTGATGGCAATGAACCTGTATAGGTTTTGATGCCAGACACTCTATTTGTTTTTTGATGAATCGGGTTAGCCTGCCAATTATAAAGGGACCCAAAGTTACAAATAACAAAAGGCTGACTAATGGTCCTGTAAGAGGCATTAAAAGGGAGAACATGGATGATTTCCACCTATCATCTGCTGTGGCAGAGAATTGCTTCTTATGTAGCTCTAGGCTAAGTTTATGTAGCTTATTTATCTGGGTTTCTACCATTCCAGACTTATTAATATAATAACAACATTCTTCCCTCAAAAAAAGGCATGTCCTACCCTTTTATACTGTCAGCAGGTCCAAGACCTGTCAGTTTTGTAGGGCAACCTGTGCAAGAGAGGTTAACTGCCCCTGAAGGGAGGATAAGGATGCTGCAGAAGCCTCAATTGCTGCTTGAAGTTGCTTGGATAGGTGAGCTGTTGTTGTGAGGGAATGACCCAGAACTCCTCCCACCAAGCCTGCAGAGACCATGGAGGTGGCAAGGGAAATTCCAGCCACAAGGGGCAAGAAGACAGCTCTTTTTTGCTTGGGCTGGGGGAAGTCCCATCCCAAGAACTCCACAGGGGTCCTGACCATAAGTTGTGGGACCAGAGTGACAGGTAGGCAGATCATGTCCTCTGGGATAGGGATGGTCAAATTTTTTGATAGAGTGCCATTGCACCAAAAGAAAAATCCAAGGGTGGCAAAAGGATGATTGGGTAATTCGGTCTGCTTGCAAAAGGGAAGGGAAACACTAGAAAAGCAAAACTCAAACTTGGAGCGGCCTGGGTCAAGAAACAAGGGTGCTTCAGGGATGGGGTGGAAGCCATGGGAATTATCAGTGGTGGTGCAATTAAGGACCTGAGGCAGGGGTACTGCTATCAGGGGAGGACGTCCCAAGGCTGCACATAGGAAGCATGATGAGAGATAACCAATGCCAGTAACATTGGCAAACATAAGGCCGCCTTAGAGGAGGGAAAGCCAAGAAAATGGAGAGGAGGAGGATGATAGTTGTGTCATTAAATTTTTTTCTTATATAAGGATATTATGATGGACTGTAGATTGTACTTGTACATAAGAGCGCCACATGTGAAGACTGGAGCTAGGCCATGTGGCCGTTCGGAGCATTTACATGGCTCCTTCTAGTGGACTAGTCCATCGTGAGTCCCACCGGTCCCAAACCACTAGGGAATATCCTATAGATGTCTTATAAAATTTAGGGCCATTTCATCCTCTCCCAATTACCTGTCCCTTAGCAGGAGGAATGTCATCAGGAATTTTGCAGTAAGAATAGGGGCATCCTACACTTTTCTCTTTCAAATAAGTTTTGCAATTGTGAACAGTCTGATCATACAAAAAACAGATAGCAGGAGCCACCTTACCCGGGGAATTATGGAAATGAGTAAAGTTGAGTAAAATGGGATTCTGACATCCTTGCAAGGGGCAATCAGTGGTGGCCAATAGGTGACCAAAGGTCTGTGTTTTAGCATAATTAGTATAATTTTCAGTCAAATAAAAGCGCCATGCAAAGGGGGATGTGTCAACTGGTCTCTGGTCCTGATGAGAAGGTACAGGCAGCAGCAAAATCCAGAATATCCAGGGAAATTCTCCCAGTTTTTTCTTCATCAGCATCTGTAAAAAAGGAGAAGGAAAGGGAAACAACCTCAGGGACTATCCTTTTCCCTGGGTGATTGGTTAGAGTTGACTTGTTTAACTAATCTCTCGGGGAGCCAACGAGGGCCTCCCTCTGTTTGGTCATAGATGCATGCTGACCCTCGCCCCCAAATCAGGACTGGGTCGGGCCCTTTCCACTGGGCAGTTAAGGGGTCTCTCCACATGACCAATGCTTGGTGGCTTTGAGTTTGTGGATGCCAAAAGCGATCTGCGGCAGACCTTGCATTCTTGTCCGAGGTGAGGAAATTAAGGACAGAAAGGGCATGATGTAAAAGATTTTGGGGGTTGCCTCGTGTATCATACAGGCTTCTCTTCTTTAATTTGTGAAGCATGGATTTTAGAGTCTGATGAACATGTTCAGTGATGCCCTGGCTCTGGGGGTTGTAAGGAATGCCTGTGACATGCTTAATCTGAAGTTGTTGGCAAAAAAAGATTGAAAGTTTTTTCCAGTATATCCTGGGCCATTATCCGTTTTTATAACTTTAGGCTTTCCTAGGACAGAAAAGCATTGTAAAATATGGGAAATTACATTTTTGGAGGCCTCTCCGGCCTGGAGAGAGGCAAATATAAAACCACTAAAGGTATCAACTGTAACATGTATGTATTTAAGTTTGCCAAATTCAATTAAATGAGTAACATCCATTTGCCAAATTTCATTGGGAACCAAGCCCCGAGGGTTAACACCCAGAGGTTGAACAGGGAGGGAGATAGTACAGTCAGTAATTTTTTAACAATTTCTCTGGCCTGTTCTAAGTAAACTCAAACAACAAACGAAGGGAATGAGCATTTAAATGGGGAAGAGAGTGTGCTTGGGCAGCCTGAGAAAGGGATCCTGCAAGAACAGGAAAAACTAATTGTGTGGCTGCATCAGACAAGGCATTTCCTTCAGATAGAGGACCAGGCAATTTTAAATGGGCCCAAAGATGGCCAATAAAAAAGGGGGCATTGTCTAGCCTTAATCAAGGAGCGCAGCTGAAGAAAAAGTGGAGCTGCATTGGTAGAGGGTTTAATAAAAGGAACAGTTTCCAATAAGGGAACAGAATGGGCAACATAAGCACTATCAGTATACAAATTGAAGGGTTGAGAAGGAAATAACTGAAAAACTTGAATGACTTGCATAAAGTTCAACAAGCTGTGCTGAGGAATATGGGGAGAGGCAGGAGGTAGCCTTTCTATCCACAACATAGGAGGCAATCCCATTGGCTGAACCATCTGTAAATATCAGGGGAGCCTCCCTTATAGGTTGTGAGGCAGTTAATTTGGGGAAAACAAAGGGATGAATTCTGGCAAACTGTAACAAGAGATCACTAGGATAACGGTTATCGATCATACCAAGGAAGGAGGAGCAGGCAATGGGCCATTCATCGTTTGTTTGAAGCAGCCAATCTAATTGTTCTCAAGTATAGGGGACGACTATGAAATCAGGATCTGTTCCAAAGTATTGGCAACTTGTTTCTCTGCCCTTAATAATTAGCTTGGCCATTAAAGATGGATAAGTGGCCAGCACCTTTGAGGGAGAGGTGGGTAGGTTGACGCAGAGTAGGGGATTCCCTCTTTTTTCTTCTCTGATAGTTATTTGTTGTCAGAAGACTAGATGTGGGGGTTCAGGAATATTAATACTGACAGAATGACAGACAGAAGGTGGATGAGAGTACTCTTCCAGGGCTTTTTCTCCCTCCTTAATTAATTTTTGAACATCAGGGGAATGATTATAAGTTTTTAAGATATCATTAATTAAATTCCAGTAGGAAAAGGTTTGAATAGGGACCTTTTCAGGACCAAAGGTCTGGTAAAAATCATTTAAACAGTCACCAACCTGTCTCCAGCATTTTTCATCTCTGGTTCCTTCTTAGGGAAATCAAGGACAGACATCTCCAATATAGTTAGGAAATTTTTTAGGTCTTTCTTTTTAACCCTAGTTCCTCGTGTCTTGAGAGACTGTTTCAGTTCCAAAATAAACAAATCCTGTTTATTAAATGCTTGTCCCACGGTGAACTTAACTTGTGTCGTCATGTTAAAATTCCTCCGGATCTGTCTCACAGCTGGGCTGGGGGTTCCATGGCGATCACTGACTGGAACTTCACTCGTGGTGCCGTCTTCCACTGTGGTCCAACTCCTAAGCAGGCCTGCCCTGAT